TGTGCCACTCACCGGCTCGTTGACGCGGGGCACGAACACGGCCAGGAAGAAGACGGCGGCCACGGGCGGGGCCAGGTACGAGGCCAGCGCCTGCATGTAGTCGAAGAGCTGCCCGCCCCGCGCCGCCTCCACCACCGGCAGCCAGGCCAGGCTCAGCCCCACCATGGCCACCACCCACAGCCTGCGGGCAGGTGAGCTCACCTCAGGCCACGCCCAAAAAATTCGGGGTCCTTGGGAGGTCGGGAACCCCAAATTTGGGAGGTCCGAGGTACCTGAGACCTCGAAATTTGGGGTTTTTGGGCACCTGAGAGGCTCAAATTTGGGATTCTGGAGGTCACCTGGACACCTGAGGTCACCTGGGGTCACCTGAGGTCACCTCAGGTCATGCCCAAAAAATTTGGGATCTCCAGGATCTCTGGAACCCAAAATTTGGGAGGTCCGAGGTACCTGAGACCTCGAAATTTGGGGTTTTTGGGCACCTGAGAGGCTCAAATTTGGGATTCTTGAGGTCACCTGGGGTCACCCCCAAAAATTCGGGGTCGTTGGGAGGTCGGGAACCCGAAATTTGGGAGGTCCGAGTTACCTGAGACCTCGAAATTTGGGGGTTTTGGGCACCTGAGAGGCTCAAATTTGGGATTCTTGAGGTCACCTGGACACCTGGGGTCACCTGGGGTCACCTGAGCTCACCTGGGGTCACCTGAGGTCACCCCAAAAAAATTTGGGGTCTCCAGGATCTCCGGAACCCAAAATTTGGGAGCTCCAGGTTACCTGAGACCTCGAAATTTGGGGGTTTTGGGCACCTGAGAGGCTCAAATTTGGGATTCTTGAGGTCACCTGGACACCTGAGGTCACCTGGGGTCACCTGAGCTCACCTGAGGTCACCTGGGGTCACCTGAGCTCACCTGGGGTCACCTGAGGTCACCCCAAAAAAATTTGGGGTCTCCAGGATCTCCGGAACCCAAAATTTGGGAGCTCCAGGTTACCTGAGACCTCGAAATTTGGGGGTTTTGGGCACCTGAGAGGCTCAAATTTGGGATTCTTGAGGTCACCTGGACACCTGAGCTCACCTGGGGTCACCACCAAAAAATTTGCGATCCCCAGGAGCTCCAGAACCCAAAATTTGGGTCCTTCAATGTCATCTGGAGCCCAAAATTTGGGGTTTTTGGGCACCTGGAAGGCTCAAATTTGGGATTCTCGAGGTCACCTGATGTCACCTGAGCTCACCTGGGGTCACACCCAAAAAATTCGGGGTCCTTGGGAGGTCGGGAACCCCAAATTTGGGAGGTCCGAGTTACCTGAGACCTCGAAATCTGGGGGTTTTGGACACTTTGGATGATAAAATTTGGGTTCCTCGAGGTCACCTGGGGTCACCTGAGCTCACCTGAGGTCCACGCCCAAAAAATTCGGGGTCGTTGGGAGGTCGGGAACCCGAAATTTGGGAGGTCCGAGTTACCTGGGACCTCGAAATTTGGGGGTTTTGGGCACTTGAGAGGCTCAAATTTGGGATTCTTGAGGTCACCTGGACACCTGGGGTCACCTGGGGTCACCTGAGCTCACCTGAGGTCCACGCCCAAAAAATTCGGGGTCGTTGGGAGGTCGGGAACCCGAAATTTGGGAGGTCCGAGTTACCTGAGACCTCGAAATTTGGGGGTTTTGGACACTTGAGAGGGTCAAATTTGGGATTCTTGAGGTCACCTGGGGTCACCTGAGGTCACCCCCAAAAAAATTTGGGATCCCCAGGAACTCCAGAACCCAAAATTTGGGTCCTTCAAAGTCATCTGGAGCCTAAAATTTGGGGGTTTTGGGCACCTGGGAGGCTCAAATTTGGGATTCTCGAGGTCACCTGATGTCACCTGAGGTCACCTGAGCTCACCTGAGGTCTCCCCCAAAAATTTCGGGGTCGTTGGGAGGTCGGGAACCCGAAATTTGGGAGGTCCGAGTTACCTGAGACCTCGAAATTTGGGGGTTTTGGGCACTTGAGAGGCTCAAATTTGGGATTCTTGAGCTCACCTGGACGCCTGAGGTCACCTGGGGTCACCTGAGCTCACCTGAGGTCACCTCAGGTCACGCCCAAAAAATTTGGGATCTCCAGGAGCTCCGGAACCCAAAATTTGGGAGCTCCGAGTTACCTGAGACCTCAAAATTTGGGGGTTTTTTGGCTCTTGGGATGATGAAATTTGGGTTCCTCGAGGTCACCTGAGCTCACCTGAGCTCACCTGGGGTCACCTGAGCTCACCTGAGCTCACCTGAGCTCACCCCCAAAAAATTCATGGTTGTTTCATCAAAGATCCAAATTTGGGGTTCTCAGGTGTCCAGGTGTGTCCTCACCTGTCCCTCCCCCATCCCAGGTGTCCCAGGTGTGTCCCAGCTGTCCCCAGGTGTCCCAGGTGTCCCCAGGTCTCCCAGGCGTGTCCCAGGTGTGTCCCAGACCCCCCAGGTGTGTCCCCAGGTGTCCCAGCTGTCCCAGGTGTCCCAGGTGTCCCCAGGTCTCCCAGGCGTGTCCCAGGTGTGTCCCAGACCCCCCAGGTGTGTCCCCAGGTGTCCCAGCTGTCCCAGGTGTCCCAGGTGTCCCCAGGTCTCCCAGGCGTGTCCCAGGTGTGTCCCAGACCCCCCAGGTGTGTCCCCAGGTGTCCCAGCTGTCCCAGGTGTCCCAGGTGTCCCCAGGTCTCCCAGGCGTGTCCCAGGTGTGTCCCAGACCCCCCAGGTGTGTCCCCAGGTGTCCCAGCTGTCCCAGGTGTCCCAGGTGTCCCCAGGTCTCCCAGGCGTGTCCCAGGTGTGTCCCAGACCCCCCAGGTGTGTCCCCAGGTGTCCCAGCTGTCCCAGGTGTCCCAGGTGTCCCCAGGTCTCCCAGGCGTGTCCCAGGTGTGTCCCAGACCCCCCAGGTGTGTCCCCAGGTGTCCCAGCTGTCCCAGGTGTCCCAGGTGTCCCCAGGTCTCCCAGGCGTGTCCCAGGTGTGTCCCAGACCCCCCAGGTGTGTCCCCAGGTGTCCCAGCTGTCCCAGGTGTCCCAGGTGTCCCCAGGTCTCCCAGGCGTGTCCCAGGTGTGTCCCAGACCCCCCAGGTGTGTCCCCAGGTGTCCCAGCTGTCCCAGGTGTCCCAGGTGTCCCCAGGTCTCCCAGGCGTGTCCCAGGTGTGTCCCAGACCCCCCAGGTGTGTCCCCAGGTGTCCCAGCTGTCCCAGGTGTCCCAGGTGTCCCCAGGTCTCCCAGGCGTGTCCCAGGTGTGTCCCAGACCCCCCAGGTGTGTCCCCAGGTGTCCCAGCTGTCCCAGGTGTCCCAGGTGTCCCCAGGTCTCCCAGGCGTGTCCCAGGTGTGTCCCAGACCCCCCAGGTGTGTCCCCAGGTGTCCCAGCTGTCCCAGGTGTCCCAGGTGTCCCCAGGTCTCCCAGGCGTGTCCCAGGTGTGTCCCAGACCCCCCAGGTGTGTCCCCAGGTGTCCCAGCTGTCCCAGGTGTCCCAGGTGTCCCCAGGTCTCCCAGGCGTGTCCCAGGTGTGTCCCAGACCCCCCAGGTGTGTCCCCAGGTGTCCCAGCTGTCCCAGGTGTCCCAGGTGTCCCCAGGTCTCCCAGGCGTGTCCCAGGTGTGTCCCAGACCCCCCAGGTGTGTCCCCAGGTGTCCCAGCTGTCCCAGGTGTCCCAGGTGTCCCCAGGTCTCCCAGGCGTGTCCCAGGTGTGTCCCAGACCCCCCAGGTGTGTCCCCAGGTGTCCCAGCTGTCCCAGGTGTCCCAGGTGTCCCCAGGTCTCCCAGGCGTGTCCCAGGTGTGTCCCAGACCCCCCAGGTGTGTCCCCAGGTGTCCCAGCTGTCCCAGGTGTCCCAGGTGTCCCCAGGTCTCCCAGGCGTGTCCCAGGTGTGTCCCAGACCCCCCAGGTGTGTCCCCAGGTGTCCCAGCTGTCCCAGGTGTCCCAGGTGTCCCCAGGTCTCCCAGGCGTGTCCCAGGTGTGTCCCAGACCCCCCAGGTGTGTCCCCAGGTGTCCCAGCTGTCCCAGGTGTCCCAGGTGTCCCCAGGTGTCCCCAGCTGTCCCCAGGTGTGTCCCTCACCTGCCGGCCAGCAGCAGGTGCCGCGGCCCCGCCCCCGGCCGCACTTTCCGGTACACGTCGAGCGTGAAGAGCGCGGCCGAGCTGGCGAAGATGGAGGCCAGCGACGACATCAGCGCGGCCAGCACCACGGCCAGCATCAGCCCGCGCAGCCCTGTTAATTATTCATTAATTAACGGTCATTAACGGCGAAGGAGCGGCGGAAATCGGCCAAAAAACGGCGGAAATCGGCCAAAAAACGGATTTATTAGCCCCAAAAATTCAATTATTAGCACCAAAATCAGCATTAATGGGCTGTTATTAGTCCTAATAATGTGTTATTAGCCACAATAATTATTAGGTGTTAATTAATAATAATTAATGGTGGAAAAACGGCAAAAATTGGTCAAAAAATGGCGGAAATCGGTGAAAAAACGGATTTATTAGCCTCAAAAATTCAATTATTAGCACCAAAATTAGCATTAATGGGCTGTTATTAGTCCTAATAATGTGTTATTAGCCACAATAATTATTAGGTGTTAATTAATAACAATTAATGGTGAAAACACGGCGAAAATCAGCAAAAAAACGGCGGAAATCAGCAAAAAGTCTGATTTATTAGCCCCAAAATGGAATTATTAGCACCAGAATCAGCATTAATTGCTTATTATTAGTATTAATAAAGTGTTATTAGCCACAATAATTAGTTGTTAATTAATAGCAATTAATGGTGAAAAAACGGCAAAAATCGGTGAAAAAATGGATTTATTAGCCCCAAAAATTCAATTATTAGCCCAAATGAATTAGCATTAATTGCTAATTATTAGTCTTAATAGTGTGTTATTAGCCACAATAATAATTAGTTGTTAACACAAAAATTAGCATTAATGGGCTGTTATTAGTCCTAATAATGTGTTATTAGCCACAATAATAATTAGTTGTTAATTAATAACAATTAATGGTGAAGACACGGCGAAAATCGGTGAAAAATCGGTGGAAATCGGCGAAAAAACGGATTTATTAGCCCCAAAAATTCAATTATTAGCACCAAAATTAGCATTAATTGCTTATTATTGGTCTTAATAATGTGTTATTAGCCACAATAATTATTAGGTGTTAATTAATAATAATTAATGGTGAAAAAACTGCAAAAATCGGTCAAAAAATGGTGGACATCGGTGAAAAAATGGATTTATTAGCCCCAAAAATTCAATTATTAGCACCAAAATTAGCATTAATTGCTTATTATTAGTATTAATAAAGTGTTATTAGCCACAATAATTAGTTGTTAATTAATAGCAATTAATGGTGAAAAAACGGCAAAAATCGGTGAAAAAATGGATTTATTAGCCCCAAAAATTCAATTATTAGCCCAAATGAATTAGCATTAATTGCTAATTATTAGTCTTAATAGTGTGTTATTAGCCACAATAATAATTAGTTGTTAATTAATAACAATTAATGGTGAAAAAACGGCAAAAATCAGTGAAAAAACGGATTTATTAGCCCCAAAAATTCAATTATTAGCACCAAAATTAGCATTAATTGCTTATTATTAGTATTAATAAAGTGTTATTAGCCACAATAATGAGTTGTTAATTAATAGCAATTAATGGTGAAAAAACGGCAAAAATCGGTGAAAAAATGGATTTATTAGCCCCAAAAATTCAATTATTAGCCCAAATGAATTAGCATTAATTGCTAATTATTAGTCTTAATAGTGTGTTATTAGCCACAATAATAATTAGTTGTTAATTAATAACAATTAATGGTGAAAAAACGGCAAAAATCAGTGAAAAAACGGATTTATTAGCCCCAAAAATGGAATTATTAGCACCAAAATTAGCATTAATTGCCTATTATTAGTCCTAATAATGTGTTATTAGCCACAATAATAATTAGTTGTTAATTAATAACAATTAATGGTGAAGACACGGCGAAAATCGGTGAAAAATCGGTGGAAATCGGCGAAAAAACGGATTTATTAGCCCCAAAAATTCAATTATTAGCACCAAAATTAGCATTAATTGCTTATTATTAGTCTTAATAATGTGTTATTAGCCACAATAATAATTAGATGTTAATTAATAATAATTAATGGTAGAAAAAGTTCTTGTTATTACTCATTAATAATAAACTAATTACAGCTAATAATCGCTAATAATCATTAATAACCACTAATAAATCATTAATAACGCTAATAATCGCTAATAAGGAACTAATAATCATTAATAATCACTAATAAATCATTAATAATCACTAATAAATAACTGATGATCACTAATTAGCAGTAATTAATTACCGGGGGGCAGCAGGCTCAGCACCTGCCTGGGATAGGCCACACTAATAAATCATTAATAATCATTAATAAGTCATTAATAACCACTAATAAATCATTAATAATCACTAATAAATAGCTAATAATCACTAATTAGTGCTAATGAGCAGTAATTAATTACCAGGGGGCAGCAGGCTCAGCACCAGTCTGGGATAGGCCACGCTAATAACCGCTAATAAATCATTAATAACCACTGATAAATCATTAATAAATCACTGATAAATATTAATAATCACTAATAAATAACTGATGATCACTAATTAGCGCTAATGAGCAGTAATTAATTACCGGGGGGCAGCAGGCTCAGCACCAGTCTGGGATAGGCCACATTGGAGCAGCCGAGGGCGGAGCCGCAGGCCCGGGAGCAGCCCTGGGGGTCAGCGCAGCCCACCACCTCTGCGGGACCAGTATAAACCAGTAAGGACCAGCACGGACCAGTATAAACCAGTATGGACCAGTACAAACGAGTATGGGCCAGTATGGACCAGTAAGGACCAGTACGGACCAGTAAGGACCAGCATAGACCAGTATAAACCAGTATAAACCAGTAAGGACCAATATAGACGGGTATAAACCAGTATAGACCAGTAAGGACCAGTATAAACGAGTATAAATGGCTAGGGACCGGTATGGACCAGTATAAACCAGTACAAAGGAGAATGGACCAGTATAGACCAGTAAGTACCAATATAGGCCTGTATAAACCAGTATAAATGGGCATGGCCCAGTATGGACCAGTACAGACCAGTATAAACCAGTATGGACCAGTATAAACCAGTACAAAGGAGTATGGACCAGTATAGACCAGTAAGTACCAATATAGACCTGTATAAACCAGTATAAATGGGCATGGACCAGTATGGACCAGTTCAGACCAGTATGGATGAGTATGGACCAGTATAAACCAGTACAAAGGACTATGGACCAGTATAGACCAGTATAAACCACTATGGACCAGTATGGACCAGTAAGGACCAATATAGACCGTTATAAACCAGTATGGACCAGTATAAACCAGTATGCACCAATAGCTCACTATAATGGGGTGCCACCTTGGGCAGCCATCTTAGATTTGGTGTGTAGCAGCCATCTTGGGTGGCCATCTTGTAAGCTCCAATGGTGGCAGCCATATTGGATAAATCCCTTAAACTAATATAAACCAGTATAAACCAGTAAAACCAGTATAAACCAGTGTGGACAAATGGCTGGCCATAGTGGGGCGCCGTCTTGGGCAGCCATCTTAGATTCATTCTGTGGCAGCCATTTTGGGGGGCCATCTTGGAAACTCCAATGGGGGCAGCCATTTTGTTCGGCCATTTTGGTGGCCATATTGGATAAGTCCCTTAAACTCCAAATATACCAGTATAAACCAGTATAAACCAGTATAAACCAGCATGCACCAATGGCTCAATATAATTGGGGGCCATCTTGGGCGGCCATCTTGTAAGCTCCAATGGTGGCAGCCATATTGGATAAATCCCTTAAACTAATATAAACCTGTATAAACCAGTAAAACCAGTATAAACCAGTGTGGACAAATGGCTGGCCATAGTGGGGCGCCGTCTTGGGCAGCCATCTGAGATTCATTCTGTGGCAGCCATTTTGGGGGGCCATCTTGGACATGCTGATGGTGGCAGCCATCTTGGTCACCCATCTTAGATTCATTCTGTGGCAGCCATTTTGGGGGGCCATCTTGGACATGCTGATGGTGGCAGCCATTTTGGGTAGCCATCTTGTAAACTCCAATGGTGGCAGCCATATTGGATAAATCCATTAAGCTAATATAAACCAGTATAAACCAGTATAACCCAGTAAAACCAGTATAAACCAGTGGGGCTCTGACCCGGGAAGAGGACGCGGGCGGCCATGCCGGGCAGCACCATCAGGAACATGGGCAGCACCTTGAGGTAGCCGCAGACGACGCAGCCGGCGCGGACGTGCGTGAGGGAGCGGCCGGCGAGGCAGCGCTGCACGATCACCTGCGGGGGAGGGGCCCAGTTGCACACCAGTTAGAGACCAGTTAGAGACCAGTTACACACCAGTTACACACCAGTTACAGACTGGTTAGAGACCAGTTATACACCAGTTAGAGACCAGTTACACACCGGTTAGAGACTGGTTAGAGACCGGTTACACACCGGTTAGAGACCAGTTACACACCAGTTACACACCAGTTACAGACTGGTTAGAGACCAGTTACACACCGGTTAGAGCCCAGTTACACACCGGTTAGAGACTGGTTAGAGACCGGTTACACACCGGTTAGAGACCAGTTATACACCAGTTACACACCAGTTAGAGACCAGTTAGAGACCAGTTACACACCAGTTACAGACCAGTTAGAGACCAGTTACACATCAGTTACAGACCGGTTAGAGACCAGTTAGAGACCAGTTACACACCAGTTAGAGACTGGTTAGAGACCAGTTACACACCAGTTACACACCAGTTAGAGACCAGTTATACACCAGTTGTACACCAGTTAGAGACTGGTTAGAGACCAGTTACACACCGGTTAGAGACCAGTTACACACCAGTTAGAGACCAGTTATACACCAGTTAGAGACCAGTTACAGACTGGTTAGAGACCAGTTATACACCAGTTAGAGACCAGTTACACACCAGTTACACACCAGTTACAGACTGGTTAGAGACCAGTTACACACCGGTTAGAGCCCAGTTACACACCGGTTAGAGACTGGTTAGAGACCGGTTACACACCGGTTAGAGACCAGTTATACACCAGTTACACACCAGTTAGAGACCAGTTAGAGACCAGTTACACACCAGTTACACACCAGTTACAGACCAGTTAGACACCAGTGCTCCCAGTTAGAGCCCAGTGCTCCCTCCCAGTCCCTCCCAGTCCCTCCCAGTCCCTCCCAGTATACCCAGTCCCACCTGGTCGGTGCACCAGTACCAGGCCGAGATGATTCCCAGTCCCAGCACGAGGCCGGGCCAGGGCAGGTCCCCAGTACTGGGATCCCAGTTAGAGCCCAGTGCTCCCAGTTACAGACCAGTGCTCCCAGTTAGAGCCCAGTGCTCCCAGTTAGAGCCCAGTGCTCCCAGTTACAGCCCAGTGCTCCCAGTTAGAGCCCAGTGCTCCCAGTTACAGCCCAGTGCTCCCAGTTACAACCCAGTGCTCCCAGTTACAGCCCAGTGCTCCCAGTTACAACCCAGTGCTCCCAGTTACAGCCCAGTGCTCCCAGTTACAGCCCAGTTAGAGCCCAGTGCTCCCTCCCAGTCCCTCCCAGTCCCCTCCCAGTCCCTCCCAGTATACCCAGTCCCACCTGGTCGGTGCACCAGTACCAGGCCGAGATGATTCCCAGTCCCAGCACGAGGCCGGGCCAGGGCAGGTCTCCGGTACTGGGATGCCGCAGGAGGTGGAAGGCGTCGGGCCGGGGCCGCCCGCAGGGCCCCGTGGCGTTGGGGGGCAGGGCCAGGGGGTAACGCTCCAGCAGGCCCTGGTACCCCCCCACGGCGCCCAGTGCTGCCAGAAACCAGTACGGACCAGTATAAACCAGTATGAAGTGGTAGAAACCAGTAAAGAGTGGTATGGACCAGTATGGACCAGTATGGACCAGTATAAAGGAGTGTGGAGCAGTGTGGGGGGTGGGGGTGGGTTTGGAGAGTGGGTGGTGCCTCCCCACCAGTAATCAGTATGGACCAGTATAAACCAGT